GGATCCTTGACATTTCGAGAGAGCTCTTCGGTTGCTGCCTCTCATTGCATAACCCGAATCATGTAGGAGAAAATACAAATTGAATTCATACAGGAAAATTGATACAAACAACAAGGTCATACGAAATGGCCATAACGTTTTAACTTTCTTATGTTATTGATTAGCCTCTTGGCCATTTCGTATGACCTTTTTGTTTGTATCGATTTTTCTGTATGAATTAAATTTGTATTTTCTCTTACGTGATTCACGTTATGCAATGAGAGAGAGCAACTGAAGAGCTCTCTCGATATGTCATGGATCCAATAAATCTTGCTGTTTTTGCCATCTTTAATTAAGCTAATGTTGTCTGTGTGTCATCACGTGTCATAGGACTCGCAATTTAAACTCAATAAGAATTGACACAGTGTTTCTAACGTAGATATATGTTAGGTTACGCAATACCGAAATCAGAAAAACAATCAATAGTTAGGTAGACTGGAATGGACATTTTTGGCATATTATCCGCTGTCGGTCAGCCTCTCGAAGGCGCACTACCTGGTTAGAGCATTTGACCTGCGACTAACAGGCTGTGGGTTCGATCCTCGGATAGTGCACCACGTAGGGGGGGGAATGGTTAACAAATGACGACTAATAAGCCAGAAGTGGCCATTCCAGACTCCCGTTTCATTGTCCGTGATGTTCTTATGTCTGTAATATTAGCTGCTGTGCGACTGCCTCCGAAGCTCGAAAGTGAACCCCACGACAGAACGGGACGTCTGAATCTTGTAACCGATCGGTGAGCGTCCATCTACCAAGACCGCAATCACTGTTCCCTCACCCAGTCTTCCCCCGTTTATTTTTCATGGAGACTGCTTAAGCTTTTTTCGTTTCTTTCTCGATCATATGACTTTAAAATCGACCATGTACCTGGCCTATGGGAGTGATCAATGATCGAAGCTTATTTCGTTACCGTGTTACTACTGGGAATTTCTTAGGCCATACCCTTTCACACTTTGTTGACTGTGTGAGACAACCAACAAATGCGCAGTCTAAAGTATTAGTAATTGCCGCAGGCTAACGTAGTTCAAAACTCCTGTCTCTTTCGATAGTTTGTTGCGGTCTGTGATGTTAATAGTTAGTATTACCGGAATCTCGGTCCTTCCTCGAACATATTGATTTGGCAATGCCGGCACACAGTTTTAGAAGGCTCGCTTCCAGATGTGCACGAATGTCTTCTGACAAGCATTTTTTATTATTTTGACCGATGGTGTGCTGCAGTGGCAGCCGTCAAAGTGATCGACCTGTGTGATCTGTTGGAGTACGAGCTATTATCATGCGTATTTTCGGTATCCTCCTACGTCGTCCGTCAATTTCTTTCGGGGACGCTTCGGATCGTCGTGATTCGTCTATTTTGTCTCAGTGGTTCCAGTTGTGTTTGGCTCAATAGAGGCCCCGAAAAGGCTAGCCCGAAAAAATGAATTATTCATGCAATCTTTTACTGCTGCACTCTTATATATAGCTGGGTTATTGCACGATTTCAAGACAGCGACTGTCGTCTCTTTGTCAGCACCAACTATAAAATAACTGTAAAGCACTTGACCCTCCTTAAACTAGGGTCTGGATATTTCCAAATGTTCAATACTTGGGCATGAGCCAGGGCCTTTTGAACTTCTGATGGTCTCTGCATGGCTTTCGATTTCAAGTAAACCAGAACGGGCTTTCTAGTCAATCTGCTTAGGTTTGTTTACCGTTTTCAATGTCTTTTATCCTCTTCCATATGCCCCATCGCTACTTTACTAGTCGTTTAAATCGTAGCAATTTATTTGGGATTAGACATATAAATTCAGATTACTTGCGAATTTTCGTACTGAACCTCTTTGTGAGATTATTTTTACATTTGATGGACCAGAGATCTGGCCTTTGCATTGTGCTTTAACTATAATTAGTTTCTTTCCGTTCGCCGAAGACTGTCCGTCTCATATCCCTCAAAAAGCGTTTTTAGACCATGCGCTCCCAACCAAATGTTTTTACCCATAATTATAGATACCCCGGCCAGATTCCGCCGTAGATTTATGATTTTAGCTCTACCTATTCATTCATTACTAGATGATGACTTGGCTGACATTATTGAACACTGTCGTTAGATCGTTGGCAGCACGAATGTCGTCGATGTTCCGTGCGCGATACCTATGCGTCCCCTCATCGTTTTGCTGAAATTTATGAAGATAGTAAAATTTCTCTAATTTATGTGGAAGCCTGCCATTGCCGCCCGCCCCCACGGATCATTCCCTTTATTCACAACCAATTATTGTCAGATTGTCTGAACACATTTTTCCTCTTCTTTCTACTTTCAAGAGTCTTCTTCGGCCAACGAAACGTCAAAAAATGTTAGAAAAACGTCAGCGACATAAGGAACTCTTTGACAAACTGTATGACGCAGCTCAACGCGGAACAGCTACCGGTGACGAGAAGGCAACGGCATTTTACGATAAAATCATGGACAAGCTAGAGAGTCAGAAAAATTTGAACAAGGAGGTTCTCAATAGCCTCCCGCCCAATATACGCGAGGAAATCGAAGGTGCTGCACCGGGTGCCTATGTGCGTC